GAGGCCTGGTGCACGTGTGGGGGGCGGCTGGTTTGCCCTGAAGGGTATCCCGGATCAGGGTGGGGGTCCCGCTGGGTGCCTGGCCTGCCTGGATGACGGGCTGATGGCTGTTTGCAGCTGGTCACACCCTCTTCAGAGTGGGAGTCCCCACTGGGGTGCCTGGCCAGTCTGGGTGAAGGGCTGAGGGCCGTTTTCATGCTGGCGGGTGACTGAAGCTCCCAGCCTCTTTTTTTTTTATTCTGGGATTTATTTACCTTCTATAGCTGTCACTGGAGCTGAGAGCCGGCTCTAGTTCTGAGGCCGCGGCTGGCTGAAAGCAGGTATCTGGGTTTGTTTAGCTTCTATAATGAAACTCTGTTGCCTTCACTGGCACTCTAAGCTCTGAGCCCGCTGGCGGCTGAAAGCAGGTTTCTGGGTTTGTTTAGCTTCTATAATTGCAACATTGTTGCATCAGGAGCTCAGAGCTGGGCTGCAGCAGGCGGGGAACCTTGGCTTCCTCCATCACTGGAGCAAGCAAGCCTCATGTTTGCTTCAGCTGCGTGTCTGTCAGCCACCATCTTGGTTGGCAGTTAATTTGCATATCGCCCTGATTAGCCAATGGAAAGGGTAGCGAAGATATGGTTAATTACCATGTTTGTCTATTATTAGATAGCATAGTCAAGTGGCCTGGTGCATGAAATTGGAGCACATTGAAAGGGAATTAAAGAGGATGTGAGTGTGAGGGAGTCCCTGTTTCTGAAATTCAATGACATGAATTTTAGCTATTACATTGCGAAATAAATGGAATTGACAGATATCATTTAAAAGAGCATTCAGCTTAATATTAAAAAGTCTGGCTACCAAGTCAAGTCTGTTTTCAACTTTTTGCCAGCGTTGTAAATTGTTTGCAATATCGGCCCATTTGTGGTTGCATGTCATGGTTATGAATAAATCGCGCTTTCCATATGTCGTTACAATTGCCATAGCATCCTGATATCGCTGCTGCATATTTCTGGGACTATCCTCAAAAGATGATGGAAGTATTATAATTTACCAATCGGCACATTGTCATTTTCACATCTTGATTTGAGATAATCCATCAAACCACGATATTTTTTGACTCTCACTTGGATTGGTTTGCTTTGATGAAATTTATCAGATTGGCCTCCATTTTTTAATATGAATCCACGATAAACTGTTGAGTTAATTTTCCTGCCATTAAAATCGAATTGAATGTGTTCTGCACGCAGAGATGAAATCCATAATACTGCATTTGGGTGACTTGTGTCCTTACATTTTGTCTAGTGATATTGTCGATTACACTGTTGTCTCTGAGTCTTAATGCAATGTCTGTTCCCCAGCCTTTTTCACCATGTGGAAAAAAGAATAGGATATGTCATTGCATCTAATATAGGCAACAGGATATTGACTTGTTTCATTTTAGTGGCATTTGGATTATTAGGATCTGGTTTACAATGAATGAGCAAGTCCCTTTCAAAAGGAGGTTCTCCATCTTTGTTTCTGAATATGACAGCAACCTCGGTTACACGGGTAGAATTATATCTACGTGGGTCACTGTTCCGATCGTACTTAATTGCCATTGTTACCTCTGTGGGAGCAATACCTTTCGCTGCTGCTTCAGATTGGGCTTCCTTTTCTACCTCATGTAGCATCTTGTATGATTTTGTTAACTCATTTATTTCATTAAATGAGGTTGTTGATGTTGATCATGAGTCTTTCTGAGCAGCCCTGGTTTTCTGGCATTGCTAATCTTTTACTTGGAGCTTTGGCTGTATCCAAAATACAGAGTTGAGCAAATATCTGAGAAATACCATCCGAAGGATGTAAAGTCCAGTACAGTGATAAACTTGTCCGTGTATTCTAAAACAGTATGGCCCATATCCTGATGGTGATGCAATATTTGCACCCATGGAAGCAAAAGCAAAAGAACTATTTATGGAATGAATATTTTCCATGAAATTTGTACTGTCAGAATCTTCTTTTGTCATTAATCTTTTTAAATATGTCGCATAATCTGGAAAATGTATATCATTTGGACAGACTTTCCCTTTGCTACAACATCGAGTAAATTTTCCATCGGATGATTTTTCATCAGAGAAATAGAGTGATAGGCAAAATTCACATCTCACAGTCATTCCACCACAACTATGTTCGAGAATTGCATCCTCATGTACTCCATTTTCGCTGAGAAGGCAGTTCCTACCAGAATTGGTAGTACTTGTTGATGACTGTTCTCTAGACATATTCTGTTGTCGCCACCGCATTATTTCAACTTCAAAGGCACGTTGGTCATTAGATATTTTCTGTCGATGACACCAGTGTTGTTTGGCATCAAAGTGACGTTTTCCCAAAAGCTGGTCTTCAGATACTTTCTATCGCAGGCACCGCCTTCTTTCAAGATCAGACGCATGTTGCTCTCCAGACATTTTCTGTTGATAACGCCAGCATCTTTTGGCTGCAGAGCTGCGTTGTATCAACAGTTGTTCTTTAGACATAGACCCACCTCTTTACTGGCATGGTCTGAGATGCAGGTGAATGAGAGTCCTGGGTGTCAGGCTGCTGAGAGCTGTCTGAACAACGGCTGATTCTGGCTGATTCTATCAGTTTCCTCCCTGCTGTCAGTTTCCACAGCTGTGATGAAGAAACTGGGGTGACAGAGGGAGCCACGTCCTCCAAGCCACCCTCTCTCTCGCTCTGCTCTATGTCCAGCGACCTCCTGCTCAGCCAAGTCTTCCAAACCTCCTGCTCTCCGTTCGCTCTCCCGCTCTGCTCTCCTCCAGCCAAGGTCCCGGGAGCCCGTAGGCGTGGCTTGGTGCGGCCGACCTCGCCTCCCAGGGCCAGAAAAGGTTCCTGGAGCCCTTGACACCTGTGTATGCAAATTAATGCGCCATCTTTGTCAGGTTAATTTGCATATTCACACCTGCTTGGCTGGTGGGTGTGGCTTGTAGGCATGGCAGAGAGATGGTCAGTTTGCATCTTTCTCTTTTATTAGTATAGACTAGAGGCCCGGTGTACAAAATGCACATGTAGGGTCCCTAGGCCTGGCCAGCGATCAGGTTCCCTGCCTCCCCACCTATTCCTTCCCTCAGCCTGCCGCCGCCATAGGCTGCCGCTGCCTGACTCAGGTCGTCTGCCATGTTCCATGCCACCCTCTGGTGGTCAGCGCATGTCATAGTGAGCGATCTAACTCCTGGTATCATGGTTGAACTGCCAAGGGGACACTTTGCATGTTAGCCTTTTATATAGAGAGATTATTGACTATTTTCTCTATCCTGTACTTTATATCCCTGTGACTATTCTTTAACTACTAATTTGTACTTCTTTATTTATATATTTTATTCATTTATTACAGAGAGGAAGGGAGAGGGATAGAGAGTTAGAAACATCGATCAGCTGCCTCCTGCACACTCCCCAGTGGGGATGTGCCCGCAACCAAGGTACATGCCCTTGACCAGAATCGAACCTGGGACCCTTGAGTCCGCAGGCTGGGGTTCTATCCACTGATGCAAACCGGTTAGGGCAGCAATTTGTACTTCTTAATCCCTTCACCTCTTTCACACAATCCCCCAACACCGCCTAATAGGTACATCTTCACTTCCTTCCATCCAGGCCTGTCCAGGGAAGTATTTTTTACTCAAAAGTTTGAGAAATTGTAAAGTACTGAATATATTTTAACTTTTCACTATTTGGCAACAATCATAATTTTATATGAGTTTTCACTTTTAAATCACATACATTTTAAAAACAACTTCAATTGTTTTTATGAAATATTTACTTGTTCTTAGGGAAAGCTTCAATAATCCTTTACGATGAGTCGGCATCCCCCAGAGAGGGAAGAGAGAGAAAAGCACATATTCGGCAACCTCTCTGTGCCAGGTCTTTTCAAATACATTATTTTACTGAATCCTGAGAGCTTTACTGATGGGTCCACTATCTTACAGACAAGGAAACGGATGAATGAATCAAATGCTTTTTTCCTTGCTCACCTTGCCCTGATTCCTCTCTACCGTCTTAAGTCCCTTGGATTACACTGTACATGGTGACCCCAGGGCTGTCATACCTAACAGTGTCCTAATTTGCACTAAAGATCAGAGTCCTCCTCCTCCAGGCAAAGCAGAGCCTGAGCACAGGCTCAGGAGCAAAGCCTGGCATGGTGTTAGCTCCATTGCGCCATCTGCTGGCTGTCACAACCCAGTGCATGACCCACAGGCAGAACTAGCTAGAGGTGTCAATGCAAAAGTTCATTTAATCTCCATAACATCTTTTTGCAAACAACAGTACTTGTCTTGCAAGCACTTAGAAACTGGGTCTCAAAGAGATTATGTGCTTCTCACACATCAGGCAGCTAATAAATGACAGGTCTCTTCACCTACAAAGCCGGAACAATCCTCTCACACCACGCTGCCTCCCTCAACGATGTAATCGCGAGGGAACATTATCCACATCGTTCTGTAGTTTCCTTCAAACCATTCAAACTATAAGGAAAAAAACCCACCCAGCATCTTTGCACTGAGTGACCAAAAAGTGTGTCCTAGTGTGATAGCTGCTGGCCATACTTGGACTTACTCTCATGGCCAAGCTCCCCACATGGACCACTTCTTCCTGTTCACACCCATCTCTTCCTGTTCTCTGAGAGGCCCAATGGGAACAAGTAAGCTCTTTCCTAATGAGGTTTCCACCCAAACCACGTCTCTTTCCCCTAATCAGGACTCACAGAGCCCCTTCCTGGGGCACCGAGACAGGAGGCCACGGGGCTTCTGACCGGGGAACGCTATTCCTGGGGCTGTCGTCCTTGCCCTGGTTCATGGGTGGACATGGCTGCTAGCTCCGCAGAGACTGGGCAGCAGAATGAGTGTTTTTGGTTTTGTTTTTTAATATATTTTATTGATTTCAGAGAGTGAGAGAGAGAGAGAAATATCAATGATGAGAAGGAATCATCAATTCGCTGCCTTCTGCATGCACCACACTGGAGTTCAACCCTACAACCCAGGCATATGCCCTGTCTGGCAATTGAACTGTGACCTGGTTCATAGGTAGACCACTGAGCCCCAGCTGGACCAGAATGAGGTTTAAAGATTGAAACCCTGGCCCCTCCTTTCCCTAGATCTGTGGTTTTGTGCCAACTCCCACAATCTCAGAGTCTCATTCAAAAATGGGGATAATAAAAGGGGGTGGGGGTGATATTTCCTGCCTCACAGAGATTTCTAAGGATTAGATGAGATTGTGTTAAGCACCCAACCCAGTGCCTGGCACATAACAAGTGCTCAGTAAATGGTAGCCAGGAAATAGGTGAGGTGTTGGTGTAGATATGCATCTTCCCTAGGTTCCCTGGGTCAGTAAGGAGCATTGCCATCTGTGGAGGTGGAGATCTTGAGGCCTGGGCACAGGCACACATCCTGTTGGCTTTGGGCTTTGCCACTTGTTGGCTGTGAGCCATTTGGTGACCTTGCGTGTTCGCTCTGTAAGGCCTGTAGTCTTTAGTCAGCCTATTTGTAAGGCTCTAGATTCATATTTCCTACTGGCTCATAAGGACCCTTTTGAAATGTCATAAACAATAAGACCCTCCTCAGATAGCAGACGTTCTCGGGAAACCAATGACTGTGATTGCCTGCGCTGCTCTGAGGCTGGCCTCATGGGAAGGGGGATGAGCAAGAAGAGTCTCAGGGTTCACTCCTCCTCTCCCGTCTTCCCCCTCTAAATGAAGCGAATTTAATTCCTTTCAGAGCTCAGAGCTGGACCCTCTGCAGGGCTAGGGAGGGAGACTGAGTTTCAGTGTTGCAGGTGACCAGCTCCTGAGCAGTAAGAACCTCGGGTGCAGTGCCCTGCCCAGCGTGTGCTGGACCGAGCACTAAGAGGCTGCTAGGGCTTCCTTGATGGCGCTGGTGAGGGGGAAGTGCAGATTCTGGCCACAGCAGGTGCCCCGGAAGTCGTCCAGGTCCAGGGTCCACACCATGGCTCCCGCCAACCCCCGGTTCTTCAGGTACTGCACCTGGTAGGGAGGCCCAGAGGGGCAGCGCTGGGCAGCTGCCTGATGTACGCAGGGGGGACCTGCTGTCCTGGCCCTTCCCCAGGTGACTCAGCATCGCCCTGCAGCAGGGCACCCTGGGCTCCTCTCCCTCTCACTCTCCCTCTCCCTCCTGGGGCATGGCCTGCAAGACCTACCTTGTTTTTGACGCTCTCCTGGTCATCCTACCCCACCCACTGGTTGCCCTTGGTGGCATAGGGGACCTGCTGGTCAGGGAGTCGATGCACGGTCGCTCCACGAAGGAAGTCACAGATCTGAGCAGAGGACAGTCAGGGTGTGAGGGGCTGCAGGGCACAGGGTGTGACTCCTTCAGCCTCTCAGCTGCAGGCACATGTGCCCTCGGGCAGATGCCTGGCTGCCTGCTCCTGTTGGAACAGAGGCCCATGTCCCCAGCTGTGTGGTCCTGGCTGCAAACAGCAGAGGCTGCCAGAAACCAAAGCACCTGGGGCAGAGGAAGACTGGGTGTGACTGACTCCCTGCAGCCTGGACGCCAGTCCCCTGGAACACGGAGCGAGCAGAGGGGGTGGGCGGCAGCTCACCTTCCCCAGGAACTCCCTTCTCCCCAGTCACACCTCATAGTAAGCGAGGATCCCGTCCTCCTTGGTGAACTGGCCGGGCAGCCCGGGCCCTGAGATGGGGGCTCCCACTCCGATCTTCGAAGAGGCCAGCGTGAAGCTCCTCCCGAAGGTGGGGATGCCCATGAGCAGCTTCTTGGCCGGGACCCCCAGCCTGAGCGCGTAGCCCATGGCGTAGGCCTGGGGGGTGGGGGAGGACAGTGGAGCCGTCAGTCTGTCCTACACACACCTGGGGCTCCCCTTCCTCCCAGGGCACTGCACAGCTTGGGTCTCAAAAAGCCTCCTGAGCACAGGGAGGAGTGTCAGCTATGACAGCTGTGAAACCGGGCAGCGGGCTCAGGCTCCACAGTCAGCAAAAGGCAGGCCTAGACCCGACCGGCCTCCTCAGCCGTGGCCCCCCATCCTCTCTTCCCCGTTCGGCCTGCACGCCACGCCCCACCCCCCCCGGCCGTCAGTTGAGGTCTGGCTTCTCCACAGAGGGATGGCGCGTGGCCCCTGGGCCTCAGTCTCCGCATCTATGACCTGGGCCCGTAGCCCCTGCCTTGCAGGACCCTCTCCCACTCACAGCATTGCTGTATCTGTCAGAACTTGGGACCTCCTGGCCTCGGAACAGAGGGCTATGGTGTCCCGTCCTCTGGCGCCAGGCTCCATGAAAGTCATAGGTCTGGAGGCTGATGAAGTCCAGGTGTCTGTGGGAGCGGAGGGAGGGCGAGGTGGGAACTAGAGAAGCTGCCAGTCCCGCGGGATGTGAGCAGGGCAGACTGGAGAGACTGGCCATCCACCCCAACCCAGTCTCGCCCAGTGACCCACTGTCCAGGCTCCCAGAGCGGACCCCTCCAGCCCATACATTCATTGTGCTGAGAGCAGATTAAAACTGTCATCAACTGCCCGTCTGTTGTGGCTCAGTGGTTGGTGTCAATCTATGAACTGGGAGGTCAGGGTTTGATTCCAGTTGGGGCACATGCCTGGGTTATGGGCTCCATCCCCAGTAGAGGGCGTGCAGGAGGCCACTGATCCATTATTCTCTCTCAACATTGATGTTTCTATGTCTCCCTCTCCCTTCCTCTCTGACATCAATCCTATCTAATAAAGAGGAAATATGCTAATTGACCCTCAAGCTGTCACAAAGATGGCGGCGCCCACAGCTAATGAGAAGGGAATATGCTAATTGACTGCCCCACCCTCAGAGATGGCGGCGCCCACAGCCACAAGATGGTAGTGCCCAGTCCCCTCAGCCCCGCCAGGGCAGCAGGCCTTGCCATGCACCTGCCTCTAGAGTCCTCCAGTCCCCTTAGCCCCCCAGCCTCCCAGGGCTAGCCTGAGGCACAGGCAAGCCTTGGATGTTGGCCCTGGGTGGCTAGGGTGCAGAAGGGACTATGGGACTTCAGAGGCAGGCACATGGCAAGGTCGGGCCCCCAGCCGCCCAGTGCCGGCTCAAGGCACAGGCAAGCCTCAGATGGCAGCTGCCCAGCCCCTCAGGGCTGCCCGAGGCTCAGGTAACCAGGGCCGGCCAAGGCTTGCGCTGCTGGCAGTGACAGCAGCAGAGGTGGGATGGGGCGTCACCTTCCCCTGATTGCCAGGTCGCCTCCCGCCCCTGAGAGCTCCTGGACTGTGAGAGGGGGCAGGCTGGGCTGAGGGACCCCCCTCCACTGCATGAATTTTCATGCCCTGGGCCTCTAGTAAAAATAATTTTTTTAAAAGTGTCAACAGACAGCAGGACAAAGGACACCAGACCTGGACACGCACACAGGAGGCAGCAGGTGGACTCGTGGACCTGAGCATCAGGTGTTGGGGGCGAATGCCTGAGTCCTCCCCTCCTCGTGGTGCATTTGGGCTCTGAGTCTCCACCCCCCGAATGTGGTAAAGACGTCATAGCAGAGCCCTTGTCCTTCACTCCTGGCTTCCTGAGGTCCAGGCCTTAGCCCCACTGGCCATCAGGCCCTTGGCTGTGGCTGCTCCTCATTTGGGGGTTGGGGGGCAGGCTGAGGAACAGGGGGACCCGGTTGTGTGAGCCTCTCAGGCTGCCCTGGCCGCCTGGCAAGGAAAAGCCGCTCAGGGAGAAGCACTCAGCCTCGTGCAGCGCTGGGCGGGCGCGGCTGGCTGGTGTGTAAGCTCTTCCTACTTCCTTTCCCGCAAACTCCTTCCCGGCCACTCTCTCCACCGTCGTACAAGACCCAAGTGGAAAGGAAAGAGAGGTGTTATTCTCCCCACGATGGACGGGGAGACGAGACGCAGAGAGGGAGCGTGACCTCCTGAGCTGCCTCTGGCTCTCACGGAGGGTGGGTGGCGGGGACTCACTGGGCCAGCTGGGACATGTCGTAGCCTCTGTCCAGGGCCACCTTCCCGGCGGACACCAAGGCGCTCAGGAGCAGCCGCTGGGTTTCCTTCTGGGCTTCCTGTACAAACTCAGCCTTCATTTCCTGGTGGGAGGGAGGCAGCAGGTAAAAGGGGTCCCGGGGGTGGGAGAGAGCCCCGTGCTGGGAGGCCAGTTCTGTGCACCTCCCGGTCCCCTGAGAGGCTCCGGGGACCATGGGTGGCACCTTAGTGGTCCTGTCCCCAGGCCTATCCTGGGACTCATCTTGTGCCCACCCCCTACCCCGTCACTCAGTGACTCCTGCCCTGGAGGGACCGCGAGATCCCAGTTGGACTCCAGGGGACTGCCTTTTGGTCTGCGCTCTGTCCCAGCAGGCACACGAGACCAGAGTGAACGTGCCAGGGCTGGTGCTGTGGGCGATCTGTGTGGACGGTCGCTCTCCCCGGTCCCTGGAGATGCTTGGGATGCCCTCCCTGGATGTGCCTGAGTGCCCCCCGTCATAGGGACAGTGACACCCACTAAGTGAACAGTGATACTTGGTTGCTCTGCTTGCTGACACCCCCCCCCCCACCGTGGTCACAGTGTCTTCCTGTTCTGCGGGGTCTCTGGGCACAGGCCTGCGGGTCCACCTCCGGGGTCAGGTCCCAGGACCCCGAAACATGGAGGCCTCAGTCCCCCCCACCCACAGGACATCAGTGGTCCCTCCTGGTCCCGCCTGCCTCCCTGCCCCTGTTCCAGACCCGACCAGCACCTTGACCAGAGAGGTGAGATGCCGCTTGTCCCTTTCTCCAGTGTAGAGCCAGGCCAGGTCCAGCCCGTCGAAGCCGTGGGTCCGAAGGAAAGGTGGCACCGACTTGATGAAAGTCCTGCGACTCTGGGTGTTGGAGGCTATTTTGGAAAATCTAGGAATGAAATCACCACAGAAGAATGCTTAGTGCTGAGATGCTGGGCACGGTCCCCTCTGGGGGGTTTCTGTTCCCCGAAGAGCAGGGAGCCTGAGCCCACAGCCCCAGGAGACACGGCCAGGGTGGGACCCACTTCTAGTCATGTGCTTTGGAGCCAGACATCCCTGGTTCCCAAGGGAGGCTCCGTCACCCACCAGCCAAGCCACTCACAGGTTGTAACCTGGGTCGCAGTGGGCTCGTCTGTAAAATGGGGATAAATATACTCTCTTGGTGCCGCCGTGAGGATTTCATGTGACAATGGCCTGAAAGGGCGCCTGACACTTAGTAACCACTCGCTGAATGGGAACTGCTGTGGCCGTGCCCTGCTCCCTCTGTACGCCCTGTTCCCACACCACCCTCTCCCGGAAGTCCTCCCAGGCTCTCCACCGGATTCTCATTCTTTCCACCCCCCTCCGTCCAGCCTCAGGTCTGAGGTGGTAAAAAGGAAAGATAAGCCCCACTGTCAGCTGTTGTGCGATTCTTGGCAAGTCCCTCTTGGTTGTACACGAGGTGGGGCCCTGGTGGCCATTTCGGCCCCTGTGCCGAACCAGTCTGGGGTCCTGCGACTCTCATGCCTCCACACTCCTAGTCCAGCTTCATCTGGGGAGGGGTCTTACCTTTCAGAACCAAAGTTCCATCCTCCCACGGACAAGAGGGTCTTCAGGTTGGGGTTCCTGTGGGGCAGGAGGAGGCGGGAGGCAGGTGACATAAGTGCCGAGACACTGGGTGGCCCCAAGTTTGGCTTCCAAGGTCCTTCCAGCCCTGAGACTCTGTTTCTAAGACTAAGGTGGGCTGCCTGTCCCCCGCTCCCCCTTCCCCAGTGGGGAAGCCAAGATATGGAGAAATAGAGCATCAGCAAGGCCCATGCCCCCGAGAGACGCCCTCAGGGACAGGGACAGTGACGGGGAGGCCTCCCTTCTCAGAGCTCAGTGGTGCCCTTTCTCCAGCTGCCTCCATCATCACCCCAAACACTGCCCAGCACCTGCCGACGTCACTGCCTCCCACCTAAGCTAAGGCCTCAGATGATCTACCCAGAGGCTGGGCCATGCCCTGGAGCAGAGGTGCCCTGCCCAGGACCAGCCGGCCCACCTCCATCCTCCCCCTGCCCTGGCTCAACCTGGTCTTGAGTGTGTTCAGCGTGTCGTATAGCGTCACATCGTTCCACTCCCAGGTGTCGATCTCGTTGTTGCTGATGTTGGCGAAGCTGTAGATGACGTGGGTGCAGAGGAAGGGGTCTATGTCATCTGGGAAGCAGCTCCCGTCCCCCTCTCGGTACTGGGACCAGTTGGTGTAGTAGCAGACCAGCTGGTAGGCGGCACCTACAGGAAATGTCCGGTGGGACCTGGGGCAGGGTTCCGCCAGGGACCCTCTCGCTGAGCCCTGAGCTCAGCACTCAGGGCAGAGTTGTGAGCAAAGTTAGAATGTGAATGAAGGGGCGGCTCTGGGAGTCCCCAGGCTGATAAAGAGGAGTGAGGTCAGGAAGGGTTCCTGGAGGAGACCCCGGCCTCTAGGGTGGACCTGGCAGGCCCCGTGGTGGGTCCTTGACCTGAGAGGCTCTGGCAGCCTCTTCTCCGGGCGTCCTGACTTGTCAGCCCCCAGGCCCCTCAGCCCTTCCCCCAGCTGGGCCCCAGGGCAGGGGTCCCAAGTCCTCCTGGTGCCAAAGAAGCGTTTCTGCCCTCCTGGTCCTGGAGGCAGGACAGCGGGCATCTCCCAGCCACACTGCCACTGGGCTCCCCCAGGCCTCACTGAACCCGAGCCTTGGAAATACTTGTATTTTGAAAAATTTCCAATATACAAACAAGTAGACACTAGTAAACTAAACATCCAGATATCGATGGTAACTGTTCTTCACCTCCTTTAACAAACATGAATCTGCTGATCCTTCCTCACCACCCCCTCACCACCCCCCTCCCGGGACCCAAGCGGGTACTCACAGCTGTGCACCACCAGCAGGACCACAAAGCCTGTGGGAGAACCAGGGTCAGACCCTGCAAGTGCACCTGCCCTTCCCCCTCCTCCTTTTCTCCCTCCACTTCCTCCCCTCCTCCCCCCTCCCCCGCCCCTGGCTCTGCTTCCTCTCCCACCACTGCCTCTGCCCTCCCCACAGCAGGTCCAGACCCCTCCGTGCAGTGGCTCTGCAGGCCGTCTGGGCCCTTCAGCCTGAACACCCACAACCCAGACCCGTGGTCAGCCCAGAGACCTGTCTGAGCCACCCTCAGGCCCGTCCTGGCCGCAGCAGAGAGGGGCATGGTGTGGCCTCTTGCTGTGCTCCTGTGCCCAGCTGCCTCTTCCGGGGCATCACCCTCCTTTTATACCTGTTCCCTCCACTCCCCTGTGCCCCAAACCATCCCTTTTATGGGAACTGACTGGCAGTGAAGGAACCAGCAGGATGGGAAGTGGTGGGGGAGCCCTGTCGGCCCAAGGGGGATTGAGAAACCCACAGAGTTTTGAAAACTCGGGCCAGGTCTTCATGAGGCACCTGCCAGCCAAAGAGCCAACAGGGTGATGGGGCTTCCCGCAGCTCAGCCTCTTTTCCAAAGACCTCTCCTCCCTGGCCTCTGCAGCCCCCGCCCCCAGCTCTTCCAGCCAGCAATTACAAGGCTTTCCTGGCAGCCATGTCCTTCCCCGTCCAGGCTCTTGGCCAGGTGGAAACTTGTGTAACCCACTGCGCCCCAAAAAGGCTGTCCTGTGTTTTCTCAGCGAGCCCAGCAGCACCCCGCCTGACCTACTCTCCCCTCAGCGTGAGTGGAGGCCTTTCAGCCACGGATGTGCTGGCTCTGAAAGTGCCCCCGGAATGAGCAGAAGAGGGTGTGTGGGGAGCCTGGGGCTGCAGGAGGCACCAGGGAGCAGTACAGGTGACTCCTGATTCCCCAGGAGCAGGCCATCCCTCCTGATTTCCACAGCCGCTGCTCCTGTCTCCCAGAGGCTTGTCCGGGCCAGGCCCAATGACGTCACTCGGCCTAAATCCCTCTTGACCCTCATCGCTCTTAGGATAAGACCCAAACTTCTGACCAAGGTTCCTCATGGCTTGGCCTTGTGTGTGGGGACATTGTTTGGCCAAAGATCCAGGGCAGGCTCATTCCCTGCTGGCTCTAAAGTAATTAATAGGCAGTGAGTGAAAAGTTCAGAACCAGTGCCTTTCCTTGTACAAGAACATTAGGTCCTAATCGGATGTTCGCCACACGAGTCTCCCAGCCTCTCTTGTGAGTCTCCCTCTTGTCTCCCATCTGCTCCTTGTGAACCGGGAACAAGTCCTCGTCTGGATTGTGCGTGGGTCCGAGTCACCCTCTGTGAATACTGAAGGGTCAGTGCTTCCCCCTTTGAGGCATCTGACTCCTTTTGTGCCCAGATGGTTGGCACACTGACCATCGATGATCACTGTTCTTCGCCCATTTGGGTCCTGGGGATGACTTCCTCTAATCTCTAACTGGGCCCTTACAGAGCTGCAGGCAGGCAGAGCTTTTCATAATAGGATGCAGGGTGTTAGGAAACACCTATTTTCACTCTGAATTACCTCTTAGGCTCGGATCCACTCAAGCCAGGCATACAACTTCTCTACGACTAAGAGGCTTATCTTAGCCTTAACCAAACCCTGTCCATTGTTCCACTTTTTTAAAATAATATTTTTTATTGATTTCAGAGAGGAAGGAAGAGGGAGGGAAAGAAACATCCATGATGAGAGAGAATCATGGATCGGCTGCCTCCTGCAAGCCCCCCACTGGGGATCGAGCCCACAACCTGGGCATGTGCCCTTGCCCGGAATCGAACCTGGGACCTTTCAGTTTGCAGGCCGACGTTCTATCCACTGAGGCAAACCGGCCAGGGCTTATTTTATTTTATTATTTTATTTTATTTACATCTAGGTTAACATACCTTTGTAATAATCTGTAACTTAAAAAGAAGAAGTAGAAAAATTAGCAGAAGCACCCTCCATAGAGCACATAATGTTGTTAACTACCTTGTAACCCAACCCTTGTCTTGCAAATGCAGAAAGCACTGCAGAAGTGTCCTTCTCTGAGATCTTCCTGGTAATTGTGTTCATTTTGACTCAAATAACAATCCCAGGTCTGGCATCTTTTTCAAGACTCTCTGAGTTCCCTTAAGTCCAACCCTCTCTCCCCTGCCCTCCACATGGCTCTGATCATTCCTCATTCCCACCCCATCCCAGGCACCCAGGTCCCACCCGTTCCCCAACAGGCCAGCACCCTTAAGAATGGAACTGTTTCCAAAAACAAGATAAACTCGACAGGAAAATGGCCATAGCCTGGAGCTTGCCCTCCATCAAGGCCGAATGCTGTCTCAAAACAGTTGGCTTCATTTCCTGCAGTTGAGAAACCGTGTGTGGTGAGCAGCGTGCATCTCACACTGCTTGAAGGAGAGAGAAGGTTCTGTCTCACCGAGCTTTTGAGAGAGAATGAGGTCAGTCCCTGGAGACCACAGGCGAGGCCCTCACCTCACGGACAGCGCTCAGGGCGGCGGCAGGGATGCACGTGCTCACTGAGGCCTGTCTCTCGGTGCCCACGTGGCTCCACTCAGTCCAGGAACCTGCTCAGTCTGGCCCCCGCCTCTCCTCCACCCGATGGATGGCAAGCCCCATGCCTGGTTTGTGGGAGCATGCCCTGGGCATCCTGGCTTAGTCCTTCCTGGGTTGTGCTCTGCCTGGGAGTCTAAGGAAGGTGTGACCGCATTCCAGGCTCAACCTCAGGGCTGGAGCCTCTGTGTGAAAGCCCTCGCCTACCATTTAGCCAGAGATGGCTGCTCCTTCCTTTGAAAACCTTAGTTTGCTAGCTTTTCATGGCTTACGGCTCACTTCATCTTGAATCACAAGGCTGTGTGGCATGTCTTATCTCTGCTTGTAGACTCGATAAATCTGAGAAGATAAAGCCTTGAGTGTGGGGTCACCTCTCATTTATCTCCATCCACAGTCTCAGCAAATAACTAAAGTATGGTTTTGTCTTCCTTTAAAAATCAGGTGTGTGTCATGCTTCCTACATCACTTGCAGTTGAATGGAAGCCTCAGCAGCATCCACACTTAAATTAAGTGAGTTGACATCGCTGTTTGCCCCTCAGATGACTATTTTTTTCCACCGAGATCACTGTCTCTTAATAGAATATGGCTCCTACTACTGGATCAAAGGATTAGAAAGAGATTGTCTCCAGGCATGTGGGGCCTGGTGCGCTGGAGATCTCCCCACCGGCTGGGGAGTGGAGATGTGGAAGCCGTCCAAGGCCAGACACCTCTGAGTCACTGCAGGGATTCTCTGGACACAGCCTGGATGTCGTGCTCAGCTGCTGGCTGGCGTGGGCTCTGGCTGCCCCTGCAGATGTGGAGCAGGGCAGACAGGAGGGAGCGAGCCCCATATTCAGCTCAAGTCTTCCATTGAGAGGAGGCCTGTGGTTAGGAGAGCAGGGTGAGGGGTGACACCTAAGGCAGATGGAAGCACAGGTTCCCTTGCTGTGCTTTTCCTGGGAGGGGCCTTCAGTGGCAGGTGGTGGTGGCAGCCCGTGGTTATTAGGTTGTCTAGTCCGTGTCAACCTATGAAGCAGGAGGTCACGGTGTCATGGTTCAATTTCCCATCAGGGCACATGGCCGGCTTGCGGGCTTGATCCCCAGTGTGGGGCGTGCAGGAGGCGGCTGATCCATGATCATCTGTCATCCCTGATGTGTCTATCTCTCTCTCCCTGTTCCTTCCTCTCTGAAATCAATAAAAACATATTTTAAAAAATGGATGGAGTGGAGATTCCCATGCCTACGGAAGCCCACATAAGGTCATAGGAACGATTGCTACAGCCTGAGGATCTCAATTATATGCCAGGAAGGAGTTCAGGAAACACAGCCAACCGGCCTGTAGGTCCGGCCCCTCAGTGCCGTGGCTGCTCTGCCTCTGAGGAAGGCCAAGGGCAGGTCCTAATGAAGGTGGAGTTGTGGGCACTGCGTCCTTTTGCCCCTTTCCTTCAGATGCCTCCCTTTTCAGGTGGCCCCTCAGCGTCCCTTCTTGGACTGTGGTCTCCAAGGAATGAAGAAGTTGTGGGGTGCAAGGACTGGGATGGCATCTATTGCTAAGCCTGGGCCTGGTTGCGTGGCCACATCACTTGTTATTGGCATGGACGACAGCTGGGAATGGCAAGAACCCACTGGAGGAGGGCCACCCCAAGGTCTCACCTGCCATCTGTGGGTGGCCATGGAGAGGAATGCTAGGAATGGCATATGTTCTCTCCTCCCCACTCCATGCTGAACCAAAGGAGACACGACCCCAAGGAAATGTCACAGTGGACTTTGGAAGGAATACTTCTCTCCCGGAGACACGTTTGGAAAACACTTGTTGCCTGAATGAATGAAGTATTGGAGGAATCTGGCTATTTCCTCTTTTCACTAAGCTCTGAAGATGGGGAACTGGGTCTGACACTCAGCGATGGATAGTGGGATGAGCATGGGAGACCAGGTGGCCTCTGGGGAAGGTTTAAAGTCACAAAGACCCGATTGAAACCATGGCGCCTCCTTTCCCTAGATCTGTGGTTTTGTACCAACTCCCACAACCTCAGAGTCTCATTCAAAAATGGGGATAATAAAGGGGTGGGGTGATATTTCCTGCCTCACAGTGTTTTCTAAGAAATAAATGAGATTGTGTTAAGCACCCAACCCAGTGCCTGGCACATAACAAGTGCTCAGTAAATGGTAGCCAGGAAATAGGTGAGGTGTTGGTGCTAGATATGCATCTTCCCTGAGTTCCCTGGGTCAGTAAGGAGCACTGGCATCTGTGGAGGTGGAGATCTTGAGGCCTGGGCACAGGCACACATCCTGTTGGCTTTGGGCTTTGCCACTTCTTGGCTGTGGGCCATTTGGTGACCTTGTGTGTTCGCTCTGTAAGGCCTGTAGTCTTTAGTCAGCCTATTTGTAAGGCTCTAGATTCATATTTCCTACTGGCTCATAAGGACCCTTTTGAAATGTCATAAACAATAAGACCCTCCTCAGACAGCAGAAGTGCTCAGGAAACCACTGATTGTGATTGCCTGCGCTGCTCTGCGGCTGACCTCATGGGAGGGGGATGAACAAGAAGAGCCTCAGGGTCCACTCCTCCTCTCCCGTCTTCCCCCACTACATGAAGCGAATTTAATTCCTGTCGCCTCGAAGAAGGAAATAAAGAAAAACTGGAAAGGAGCAGGTCAGACTCTCAGATGACTTTGTGAAGAAACTCCACCTTTCAAACAAGGAGACTCCACTGGAGAAGAAACAGACGCTTCAGGAAGTCAGTGTTTGTGCAAAGCTGTAGCCGAGAGTCTCTGTTCCTCTCCTCCCCAAAGGTGAGCAAAGCTCTGGAATCACACAGGAGATGAGCCCGTTCTCCAAGCAGTCTCTCCGGATCTGAGAATAAGTGCATTCGGGGTTAGAGCATCCTCTATCCAAGAGTTGGGAGCAGGAAGCCTGGGGTCTGATCTCCTCCCTTCAGGCCTGGCAGCCTCATACCAAAACCTAAGCCCAGGTCTCACATGCTAGGCTGACAAAAGAAAAGGGAAAAAAGCTCAATGGCTACATGTGTGAGGGGTAGGTTTTGTAGGCTGAGGACATGTACGGATTTCCAATGTCTAGACTCAGACTTTTTCCTTAAGGTGTTTTTTATTGCATTAAAATACACATAACAAAATTTAACATCATCATTTTTATTTATTTATCTTTTAAAATATATTTTTCTTGATTTGAGAGAGGAAGGGAGGAGAGATAGAGAGTTAGAAACATCGATCAGCTGCCTCCTGCACATCTCCTACTGGGGATGTGCCTGCAACCCAGGTGCATGCCCTTGACCGGAATCGAACCTGGGACCTTTCAGTCCGCAGGCTGACGCTCTATCCACTGAGCCAAACCGGTTTCGGCTATTTATTTATCTTTTAAAAATATATTTTTCTTGATTTGAGAGAGAAAGGGAGGAGAGGTAGATAAAAACATCAGTGATGAGAGAGAATCATTGATTGGCCGCCTCCTGCACACCCCCTACTGGCAATCAAGCCTGCAACCTGGGCCATCATATTCATTTTTAAGCGTATAGTTCAGTGGTATTAAACTCACTCATATTGTTGTGTAGCCATCACCACCACGCATCTCCATAACTCTTTTCATCTTGTAAATCTGAAACTCTATGCCATTAAACAATAACTTCCAATTCTCTCCTCCCCACCAGCACCTGGCACCCACCTTTATACTTTCTGTCTCTATGATTTGACTACTCTAAGTACTGCATATAAGTGGAACCACACAATATTTGTGTTTTTGGACTGGCTTATTTCACTTAAAATGATGTCCTTAAGGTTCACCCATGTTGTGGCATACTGGAGAATGTCCTTCCTTTTTAAGGCTGAATAATATTCCCCTATATTTATATACTACATGTTGCTTATACATTTATTGGTCAATGGACACTCGGATTGTATCTATGTTTAGCTTATGAATCATGCTGTTATAAACATGAGTGTGAAGGGACAGAACGGAACTGATATCTGTGTCCCTAACAAAAGGACAGAACGGAACTGATAGTGAAAGGACAGAACGGAACTGATAGCTGTGTCCCTAACTCCTCTCCCAGGAAAGCTACAGAATGTATCAGTTACTCAGCCTGCCCTTATCTCAGCCAATAGGAAAGCAAGGGAAACTAGCCCCCGGCCCTCACTCAACCAACCGGAATCAACCACGTGCCTCCAGCCCCCTCCCCATGCCCTATAAATTCTTTGTTCTCTTAGGACTCGGGGCTCTCTCTCGCATCCAGTAATGGAGGCAGAGGGGACCAAGCCCGGGCTTGAATAAAAGACTCTATGCTTTTGCATCGGACTCGGCACTCCCTGGTGGTTCTGTGGGGGGTCTTGAAATCTGGGCATAACAAGTGTACAAATAGCTCTTTGAGATCCTGCTTCCAAATCTTTGGGGTATATACCCAGAAGTGGAATTGCTGCATTATGTGGTAATTCTATATTTAATTTTTTGAGGAACCTCTATATTGTTCCTCAGTTAATTTTTTATATATGTCTGATGGTTGCTGTAGACACCTGGATATTATCAAGTAGTAATATGTCATGAGAACTTGCCAGATTTCCAATTTTGTGAATGTCACTAGAAATCAACTATTTATGGAGACATTTTGTTTAGTTCTTCACAGAAATAAAGGTTTTATCAGGTAGGTGAGGTGGTCCTCACTTCCATGTACATGAAAACATTTGAGGAGCTTTTCTGAACTTCCCCATTGGCAGTTCCCCATTGGTGGGTCTGAGATGGGGTCGAAGTGTTTGCAAAACATGGGCTTCCTTCAAGTCTCAGTCCCTTCATCTGTGACATGTGGTTGCCAATGGAAGCGACCCCACAGCTATGAGGCTTCGGTGAGGTGACAGGTGTGATACAGGCACAGGTCCTGGTGTGTAACCGCAGGCTTAATAGAGCCCAGTACCGTTTTTGTTGAAGGGAGGCCTCCTTTGCAGCCTAGCAGCTCCCATTCTTGAACTGCAGAATCAGCAAAATCAGGAGAGGCCAGAACCGCCCTTGCTCCATGTGCTAGAGTAGCACATACCAGAGTATATTTTCATATGTAATTTCCACTAATTAAATTTTTGCATAACTGCCATGAGAGTTCTTTGCCCTGCATTCCCAACTGGGTTACATCCCAATGGAAATATGGGAATATACAGCTTGAAATATTGCATTAAAATTTTAACTTGGGAAAGCAAGAATGCAAATTCATCAGGTCAGTATGTGGGAAATCGGTGCCTCCTTCACTGCAGGAGGATGTGTAAATGGGTGCAGCCTTTTTGTAGGGCAATTTGGCAATATCTTCCAACTCTACAGTAAACATATCCTTTGTATTTCCATGTTTAGGCATCTATTCAGGGGGAAATATTGACACATATAAGCAAAGAAGAATAAACAAAAGTGTATCATGCAAATAGCAGCAAATTCTTAATGAAACAGAAACCTCCAAAATGTTCAGCAATTGAAATATGTTTAAATAAATTATGAATCACCTATATAATAAAAAATTAGATAGTGGTTATTTTAAAAGGGGGGATACTAACATGGAAATCTCTCCAAGACATAATGTTAAGCACAGCCAGTGTGGTTCAGTGGTTTATCATCGACCTATGAACCAGGAGGTCACCGTTTGATTCCTGGTCAGGGCACATGCCCAGGTTTTGGTCTCAATCCCTAGTAGGAGGCATGCAGGAGGCAGCTGATCCATGATTCTCTCTCATGATTGATGCATCTGTCTATCTCTCCCTCTCCCTTCCTCAGTCAATAAAATATATATTTAAAAAAGACATAATGTTAAGTAAATAAAGCGAAACAATACTGTACAATATAACTTCATTTCTGCAGCAAAGATACATATTTGCATATACATATGTGTGTTTGTAAAGTATAGGAAAGTACTTAGGAAAATACATACCAAACACATGAGAAAATTTTTTTTAAGATGATGTTAATTAAGTGATAGTAGTTGTGTCTAGTCACTTTTAGGGAGGGATTAGGCAGTCCTCCCCTTACCAAGAGTGCTCTGTAGGGTTCTCCTGCAAGTTCTTTGGGGCTGTGCACCTTGGCCCCACGCACTCACCAAGGCCATGCTACTGAGCAGTCTGGCATCTGGCCGGACACCTCAGATTTGCATTTGTGCTTGTTCTTTGTTGTGCTTTTTGTTGTGCTCCGTGCTGCCTTGGGCAATTGATCTCCACCTTGTACGGAGCTGCATGTCTTCTTCAGATACTCTGGTCCCTCCATCAGATGTAGGGGTCCTGGGTTTTGTACCCTTTGAACTACCAAAGAGTCTTAGATACTGGGCGTGAGCTAACTACCTGGGACGGCCGGTATGAGCCCTCCTGTCTTCGCTCACTTAGTGTTCCTGTGATCTTAGAGTACCTGATCCTGACCTCACCATAGGTGCTCATGAGGTGATTGTCCCAGATCTGACCCCCAAGGACAAATGAAGGCTTCTCTTCATAACTATAGTCATTGGAGTTTTACCTTTACACCCCCTTCTCTGAAATTCTGTAATTTGGATAAGAAAGAGGGTAGGCTTCTTACTCAGGCCCCTGTGCAACTGTTAACAGTCTTTTACTGTAGTTCAGCTCATTGTAGCTCACCCACACAGGCCTCTCTCTAGACACCTGTCAGTATAGAGCAGGGTAGGCTCAGAGACCACCAGCCATCAAGAGTGGACCCTAAAAAAAAAAGAAAGAGTGGACCCTGTCTCTCAATACCCTAGGGCCTTTCCAGCTTGTGATCTTTGAACATCCATCTCCTCAGATGAGCGACCTTACTACCTACCCTTGTGATTAAGGGGTGGTCCTCATTCCACCCCTACTTGGGGATCTCAGCCCTGGATGGCACCAAAGCACAACCCGTTCACCATCTCTCCCAGAAGCACATTGAATCCTCCTGGATCGGGAACTCCAGGAGGCACCAGGTGGAATAACACGTAGCTTCATAGTTTTAAGCTCTTACTCTGAAATTCTAAATTATATACAGAAAATTATTTTCTTTGGCTACTTTTTCTAATGACACCAGGAAAACAGTGCCAATTTGTGATGTAGTAATGAACTCTCCTGTTTGGATTTGAATCTATACGAAAACATACCCTAATTAGAGAGAAAGCACTTATGAAATAGAACAAAGTAACTAGGTCATGTACATTTCCTGTTCTACTGCCCCACCCCAAACTCCTCTCTGGTGTCACTGAGGGTATAAATTGGGGCTGGGATCAGTGTGTGCATTCACATCAAAGGCCAACATGAAGACAGGCACAGCCTTTGTCCTAGTGGCTTTTGTCATCTTGGGGATGGAGATGGCCTTCACTCAGGCACGTAAGTAAGGGTGGAAGTAAGGGTGCTGAGGGGGTCCTACCTGAGAGCAGAGGAGGCTCAGAGCCCAGCTTCTTACCTGGGATGGTGGGGCACAGGAACAGGCTGCAGAGTGGAGATTTGGCATTGATCAGACCCACTTTCTTTAACCTTCAGGAGTGATCACCCTGCTTTTCCCATTTTTGTCTTCTGTTTTTTAATCCTCACCTGAGAGATGATTATTGATTTGAGAGAGAGAGAGACAGAGAGAGAGAGAGAGAGAGAGAGCGAGCAAGAGAGAGATGAGAGAGAACATCGATTGGTTGCCCACCATGGGTGCCCCAAATGGGGATTGAACCTGCAATACTTTCAGTATGTGGGGAGATGCTCCAACCAACTGAGCCACACCAGCAAGGGCCCCATTCTTCTTATCAGATCAGGTTGGGCCTTATTAAAAGTTGGGGCTCTCTCTACATGTGCCTTGGATGTAGGGCTCCAACACTGAGTAGCTCCAAGATGAACATGGGGATGTCTGGGATCAGAGAGGTTTCTAATATCATCATCTAAGGTGTAAAGAAGAGGCTTATGAGAGAGCAGGTTTCTTGCCTGCGGAACTGGGCAGCCTTTGCAGCAGGGAGAACATTCTCCTAAGGGCCAGACTGTGAAAATGGGGGCATCAGTGTGAGAATGAAGCTGCCGAGGCTGAGGGAGGGTCCAGGAGTACAAAGGAAGAAATGAAATAGGTGGCAGTCCTGCCAGCAGTGAGGCCGTGGATCTCTAACAGCAGTTTTTATACCTGGTTAGTGACTATTCCAGACTCCACAAACACGGTTTTATGTTTCAGAGAGAGACAAACCTGGACTCTGCCCCAAGGTGCCCGAAGGAACCGTTGGGCCTTGTGTTCAGAGATGTGGAGGAGATGACACATGTCCCTCTGACCTGAAATGCTGCAGCAATGGATGTGGCTATGAATGCACACCTCCTATCTTTGTGGTGAGTATAAATCCATCAAGAGCTGACAAGGGTGTTAACTACTCCCGAGTGTACTTTCCTGGGGCCGATGGATGTTCACATGTCCACTTCACACAGACGTCTGGATAACTCCAAGAGAAAGAGGTTGAAAATGAATGGCAGTAGGACACCTGGCTGCATTATCTAAGACCCTCTCCTCAAAGAGAAGCCCTATCCCTGTCTGTCCCCCAGGGGGCTCTCAGTTGAGAAAAGTAACCATGACCCGAGATTCACAGGTCATTATTGACCCAGGGTTTGTCACCCTCCTTCCCCTTCCCCACCAAGGGGGCTTCACTCTTCCTAGAAAATGGGTGATCCTGGGAGGCAGAGGGAAAGCAAAGAGAACCCCAATTATGGAGTATCTCCTGTGTCAGTCAGGTATTGTGCTGAAGTTGAGATGAAAAGGTAAACACAGCTAGTTCATGGAGACAGAACTATGTAAATAATTACAACCCAGGGTGACCACAGCTTTGCACAAATTTCTACTAAGGTCTGTGGAGGCACAGGGAAGAGTTATTGGTTTTGCTTGGGTGGGTGGATGAGTGGAGGTTTGGAAGATTGTCAGAGAGTAGAGAACATTTAAGGGAGAGTTTAAAGGAGGCATACAGTTTGCCACAGTAAGGAAGGGCAGTACAGATGATGGGGCAATGTGGGTCCTACACTGGAGATGGGAAAGTGATTGAGATTGTGGTCAGTAGAATTTGCAACATCTCAGGAGAGGTTCATCCAAGCCAGGGTGAAAGGAATGAGCTGCCTTGCCAAAGAGTTTGGTAGACTGCTGGAGGTTTCTGAGCAGAGGAAATGTCATGATCAAATTTATATTTTAAAAGGGTGGTGTTGATGACCATGTGGAGGAAGAACGGGGGGTGTAAGCGTGCCTGGAGATGAGCCCCAGAAGATTGCTCATGAATGCATCCGTCCAGTGCTTGGCATAATGTTTTCTACACACCATTCCTGGCAAGTGTCTATCCCTTGACGTGCAGTCCCAGAAGATGAAGATCTAAAGTGGTGGAGTGGCCGATTCTGAAGAGCTTGTGTCCAAAATAAATTTTATCTGTGGCATTATTCAGATTGTGTCATTCTTCCCATTTAGACATTCTTTCTAGTTGACCCTCTGTGGATGAACAGAATGAAATGTGTGCCCTGTACTGAGCCCATGAATACAAGGCACTCAGGATAGATCAGAGGCAAGGTCTGCCAGCTAGTTTCTTTTCTCCTTCCATGTCCACATATATAAACAGGGCAAAGGGCATGATAACATTTTCTCAAGCATTCTGTGAATGTGATTTTTGTTAAGAAAAAATGACCTTCTAGCACATAACAGGTCTATAGTAGCAGCATCTATTAGGGCAAGACTCAGAAGGAGTAGTAGCAGACGCAACTGTGGAGATACCCTCTTCTAAGGCAATACACTGACATGTAGCAGGAATGGATGCCTAACTCTATGAGAGCAACCCTGGCCTTGGGATGTGGGGCTTTGAGTGGTGTGGGCTGGGAAGTACCAGCTGCTTCCCTGGAGTGACTAGGAGTTAGGATAAGTTTGGACATAGGCTCTGTGGGTGGAGTCTTTGATTCAGAGTTTTCCTGAGGCAGAGGATAAGCCTGGGTCTCCCAAAGAAGCCCTGACAAAAGCGATGGTCTGGGCTGACCCTACAAGCTCCATCTCCCAGCACTCTCTGTTCACCCTTCCACCTCGATTGCCCCACGTAGCCTCTGCCATGGTCGGCCATGCCTGCTTGTCCCTGCCGTCTAGCACATCTTATAACCCCGGCACCCATGGCCTCACCAGCCTGTGCATTGGAATGAGGACATATTAGCTTTGATATCTTCTTTTACTGTCTGGTCATCCACACCCCAAATCCCACCATGCTTCTGTCTCTCTTGGTCATTACTGGGGGCTCATGAGCAGACCCATAACATGTTGTCAAACAATTTCACCTATTATCTGCCATTCTGAATGCCAAGGTATGACCTTCCCCTGCAAAGATACTTGAGGATGGCATCCTACAACGTCCACTTATTTTTCTGCCCCTTAGTTAGTCCCAAAGTTTATATAGGCTCTGTAGGCATGCAGACCTGTCAGACTTTGTGGTCACCCAGATTTTGTAGCCATATGTTAGGGGAGGATAATTAACACTCACCAGCACAGGCACTTTCACAGGTAGTATCTCACTTTACACTCACCACAACTCTAGAATACCATCTCAGTAGCAGAACTTTTTGTAAATTTTACAATTGAAGAGACAGGGGGTCCAAGTAGCTAAATGACTTTCCCAGCATTACACTCCTTTTTAAAAAAATATTTTTGAAGCTTTCAGAGATAAGAGGGGTAGGGACAGAGAGATAGAAACATCAATGATGAGAGAGAATCATCAATTGGTTGCCTCCCACAATCCCCCACTGGGGACTGAGCCCACAACCTGGGCAATTGCCGCTATCGGAATTGAACCATGACCTGCTGGTCCATAGGCCGATTCTCAACCACCAAGCAAAACAAGTCAAGCGAAACATTCTTAATGAGTAGAGGATCCAGTATTCTCCTCCATGTCTGTTTGGCTTTTAGGTAAATGCTCCATGCCTTTTACCATGCTGATCTTCTCTCCCATAGAGGGAAGATATTCACTGGCAGGGCTCTCCTGGTCAGGTGTTACAGTCTCAATAGAAAGACACATATGGATTATCTATGTTTCATATTTAACACCAGGACAGAGAAGGTGCAGCAAAAGTGCATGGACTGGGTCTTTTCTCTTTCCACACCATCATCTGTAACGGGCTTTATAAGCTTTATTTTTTATTTTTATTTTTTTAAATTTTTTTTATTGCTTAAAGTATTATTTTATAAGCTTTAAAGGAAAGTTTTCCCAGAACCCTTTGGGATTCCACTGCCCACCCATATTATATTTTTAAAAATGAAGAATTACATGTATATATTTGGTAGGCATTTTTCAGTCAGCCAAATCTTTTCATCACCCCTGGGCTGGCTGCCTCTCCCATGTACAGCCTATGTGTGGCCTCCTGACCACCCATCATTCCCCAATTCTATGCCATGAAGTAGAGTTGGCCCCACCTCCCTAACACAGCAGAAATGTACCTATGTGTGTAGTTGGGTCACAGAAATCTGAGACTTCCTCCAGCCTGGCCAGGTAGCTTTTGAGTCTTTTCCCTCACCATCAGTGCCTGCATACTTTAGACAAGGAAGTCATGTAAAAGCCTGTTTTGGGAAAGACTTTTTCAAGTGCTCTTTTTTATGTGATTATTTATTTACCTTCTTGAAATGCCAAGCTCCAGAGCACACTCAAGGCATAGCACATGCATAAGGTCTGCTTACTTGGGCTGTTCCCCTTGCTCTGGTTTTTGCTCTTCTGGAAGTTTGTGAACAGATGGTTGTAGGAAGGTATCCCTGGAGGCAATGCCTTTTAAAGTTTGTTTCTTTTAAAATATATATATTTTAATTGACTTTAGATGGAAGGGAAAGGGAGAGATAGATAGAAACATCAACAATGAAAGAGAATCATCTATTGGCTGCCTCCTGCACACCCTCCCACTGGGGATCCAGCCCATAACCTGGGCATGTGCCCTGACCAGGAATCGAACCATGTCCTCCTGGTTCCTAGTTTGATGCTTAACCCCTGAGCCACACTGACCAGGACAAAGTTTGTTCCTTATTTCCAAATGAACCCTTGACTTTGAGAAAAAAACATCACAGATCCCACAAAGGGCCTTTCGATGGAATGAACCGAAAGCCTTATTGTCTTGGAAGTCATATCCAGTCCTTGCAAAGTGATTGAGAAAACAAAAAATGATCCCATAGAACCAAAAAGCCAATAACAACCAGTCCACTCCTGCACTTCACAGCTCTCCCAGCCCAGTTTACAAAGAAAGTTAGCTTATTTCCAGCTTCTTTCTCCAAAAAATCATTTAACGAAATCTCAGTATGTGAGGCATAAATGCAGCACGAGTTGTTTGGACAGGCTGTGTGGAAAGTGTGAGTAGATCAGAATGGGAATATTGGCTACGGAGTTGGGAAATGTACTATTTTATTTCAGGAGGACTTTCTCACTGAGGTATACATTCTGGGGCAAGTCCTTACAGGACCTGGGAGAAATTTGACAGGTCCTATTTTAATCCAAGATTAATTAATAGAGCTTTGTTTGTAAGGACAAATAGTTTATTTTTAAACCTTTTATTATGGGAAAAGGTAAACACATACAAAGTAGACAGAATAGTATAATGATATACCACATACCCATCACCCAGCTTCAACCACTGTTAATGTGTAATTATTCTTCTTTCATAATCCCATTCATTTCCCCTCATCTCATGCTATTTTGAAGAAAATTCAGGACATTATTTTTATGACATACTAGAGGCCTGATGCATAAAATTCATGCAAGTGTAGGCCTTCCTTCCCCTGGCTGTCGGCACCAGCTTCCCACTGGCACCAGGGACCCGGGCTTACTATATGTTTTGTATTTAGAAAGGTTTATATTTTTGTTGTAATAGTTGTCTTATACTAACACCTGTAAATATTACCTTTCCTCCCTTCTTTTATTGTGGATGGTTATCTATAAGTGAACTACTATGAGTAATAGTCATAATAAACTTAGCTAATTTCATCTTTTTCTTCCACCCCTTCCCTACCCCGCAACCCCAACAACTTTGCTCTAGATTGTCTTGATTCAGGGTGAACACTTTATAAGTTATATAAATGTCTAATCACGATGTTGTACATCTGAAACTAATGTAATATTGTATGTCAACTGTAACTGATAATAAAACAGGAAAATTGTCCTGATTATTCTTGATTTTTAGGACTTTCATATAAGTTTTAGTATTAGTTTATGAATTTTCATTTAAAAATCTAAGATTTTCATTGGAATTTCATTAAATTTCAATTTTGGGAAAACTTATATCTTCATGTTCGTGAATTTCTAATCCATGAATACCATATACGACTCTGTTTATTATGATCTTTTCACTTT